GGGGTGATGGTAACGAGATCTTTTTCACCAGGAGGACCCTTTGGGATATGTCCTTTCCTGGTCTAGATATATCGATGATATCTTCATGGTATGGACAGGTACCAAGGAGGAACTAGAGCTTTTTTTCAATTCTTTACAGAGCAATGAGTTCACTCTGACATTTACTATGACATGTGACCAAGGGTCTATTACTTTTTTGGATGTCAGGATTGGAGTGGAGGCCGATGGATTAATACATACTAGTCTTTTCAGAAAAGAAATGGTGGGTAATACTATTCTACACGCATCAAGTGCTCATCCCCTTCCTTTAACCCCTTCATGACTGAGGCCCTTTTTTCATTTTATGCACCCATGTTATATTCCACATTTTAGGCCTGAAAATGACGTAAAACCCCCCAACATTATATATTTTCTGAATGCCAAGACCCTATAGAATAAAATGGTGGTAGTTGAACATTTTTATGTTGCGCAATATTAGCGCCACTCCTTATTAAACCCCAAAATTTAGTGACAAATTTAATTAAATGCCCCAAAACACAACAAATTACCCATTTTTTTAATGAAATATAAAAGATGAGGTTACAACGAGTAAAACGATACCCAACATGCCCAGTTTACACATCCCAGATAGTCAATATCTACGTCTTAGACGTATCTGTTCCACAGGTGAGACTTTTGAGGCAGAATCTTTGAAACTCAGGGACAGACTATTGTTGAGGAAATACAGTAAAAAGCTTCTTAAGAGAGCATATCAACGCACCAAGGCACAGCCTCGTGATAAACTCATCTATGCTTCTAGAAATACACCAAAAGATGCAGTACAAACTTCGAGTGTGTGGTTTGTTACTCCTTATTCCAACCAACATGCACAGATCAGACAAGCTATGGAAAAATTCTGGCATTTATTGCCACATGATCCCATAGTTTCTAAATTTATAGGTAAAATTCCTGAAATTGTATAGAGGCACCCACGATCACTAAGGCACAAGTTGACACAGTCACTATGATCCACAGATTGAAAAAGTAACAAGAGTGGATACTGGCACATTTAGATGACATTGTAATTAGTGCCAATATGTGAAGCAAGGTAATCACATAAGACTGCCCAAAGGCAAACCCTGGTACCCCAGGCGCCATATTAATTGTGACACCAAGGGAGTCTATTTTAATGTTGTGCATTGATGGGGCTTTTTATGTTGGTAAAACAATCAGACCTTTATCAAGGCATATCCATGACCACATCCATCTTGCTGCTAACGGTAAGATGACAACGCCCATTAGTCGCCTTATTGGGCTACATCACAATTTTGACCCTGGGGTGTTGTCCTTTTATAGTCTTGAATGTGTTGAGGGAAATATATGTGGTGATTTGGATAAAAGGGTTCTTTAGAGGGAAATGGAGTGGATATACAAATTGCGAGCTACCAGACCTCCTGGTCTTAATGAAGCTTAAGCTTCAAATCCTTTTTGTGAGGGGGAGGCTTCAGGGAAGGTGGCCTGTTTTCAGTTGCTTGTATATCTGTTCCATGCCACGATGTGGGATTTGACTGCATTGGATCTTCAATTTTGATTAAATTTTCTAGTTTATAATGTAACTTAACAAATATGTTCTGATAAGTGTGTGGAAAATGCTGCACTCCTCACATAAGGCTTACAGTGGGTTTGTCATATTTCCTATGGTATTCTCAGATTTTCGGAACATATCACTGTTATTTTGCAATGACAAGAGTAGCTCTGATGGGTATCTTTCAGTTTCATCTATAAATGTACACCTTGGGGAGCATTTCCTTAGATGTGCGGGAAATGTTCTTTTATGCCCACTATGTGATATGCCAATGTATATATGTGCATATTTAAATATTTGTCTATCTTATGATTGCAAGCTAATGTCTTATGAATCGAATCGATTTGTATAGGGGAAGGGTTTCCCCATAGGTAGCATCCATTGTGTTTGAGATACGCATCAAATATATGCTACTATACATCTTTTTATATCCATTGTGTTTGATTTTTGATCACATATAACTCTAGATGGTCCTTATGATTGTTAGCATTGTCCCTTTTTGTATGGGGAATATTACAGTATCTCACAGAAGTGAGTACACCCTTCACATTTTTGTAAATATTTTATTCTATCTTTTCATGTGACAACACAGATGAAATGATACTTTGCTACAATGTAAAGTAGTGAGTGTACAGCTTCTATATCAGTGTACATTTGCTGTCCCCTCAAAATAACTCACACAGACATTAGCCCTTTCGCTGCCACCGCCGTAAGGCATACGGCGGAACAAAAGTGTTCCCGGCTGGCCAGCTCAGTATGCCTTACGTCGGTGGCATTTACAGTTCTGTTATAAGCTCATTGTCCATGAACTTATACCAGAACTGTTCAGCAGACTGTCCCCTTCAAATTAATAGCTGTCATCAGCCGCTCCAAGCAGGGATGAGAGACTCCATGGATCCCCGCTGCCGTCACCCGCTTGTAGGGGCTGTGGCAGCAGGGATCCAAAGTAAAATCACCTGATGACAGCGGCTCTGTGCGTGGCCGAGCGGGGGATCGATAAATATAATTGATATTTATTGATCCCGCTGTGCAGAGCAAACAACGGAGTGATCGTCTGATTACTTCGGTGTTTCTAAACAGGCTGTGATTTACATCACTTCCTGATCATTCAAGAATTTATGAATGAGGAGTAGCACTCACTATAGAGGCTCCTCCCCATTCATAAACTGATGATAATAAATATTTTTACTATTTTTTTTTTTTACTATCATCAGTTTATGAATGAATGGGAAGCCTCTGTACTGAGTGCTTCCCATTGAGTGCTGAGGCTGCAGAAAAAGAAATTGAGGACTCTGTGCTCTCAATTTCTTTTTCTATTTCAAAAGGGAGATGCCAGGGGTCTGTTTAGACCCCAGATATTTCACCGTAGCCTCCCCAACAGTAAAAAAAATAAATAAAAAATGTGTAAAAAAAACGAATAAAAAAAAACCCGCTCCCTCCCCCCACATAACATACACATATTGTGGTGTACACCATGCACATGCGCTGCAGTGCGTTGTTAGAACGCATCGCAGTGCATGAGTTTTTAAATTAATTTTTATTCTTTGAAAAAAAACATTAAATTAACTGTGGCAGCGCATGGCAAAACTTTTTGACCCCTTGCCATGCGTTGTGATTCCTTGTTTTGCAATTAACTATACGCTTGTATCATTTTATCACAACACAAACACCAACACAGCACAAAAACTATTTTTATTTACAGTTTTGCGTACTTTAATTTTTTTACCTTTTAGAAAAAAGGTTGGAGGAGCAAGCGTCGGCTGGCGGGGAGAAGATGGCTGAGCGGTGAGGAGAACAGAGCCGCTGTCTTCCTGTCAGTTTCCGGACGACAGCGGCTCTGAGTGGCCAAACGGAGGATCGATAAATATCATTGATATTTACCGATCCTCTGTGCAGCAAAAACACCAGAGTGATCGTCTGATCACTCGTTACAAATAACTGGGAACACATAGGGGGTTATTCACAAAGCTGCCGAAGGCAGCCGTGTGAATAACCGACCCAAAGTGAGCCGAACGCTGTTCGGCTATTCACTTCAGGCTTGTACAGCTGATTTCAACCGTACACCGACTGAAATCAGCCATACATCGGCTTGCTGCGGCTGGGTTCGAAGTGCAGAAGGAGTTTGACTCAGCTGATCCAACATCTGGATCAGCTTAGCCGAACCTCCGGCAGGCTACTCGCTGCTGTTCGGCCTATTCTCATAGGAGCCGAACAGCAGTGAGTGAATAGCCGAATGCCGCCGAGCGGCATTCGGCTCGGCTATTCTGCTCGGTACCTCTGTGGTACCGAGCAGAGTAGTAGCTGTCGTTACAATGAGAGCTTGTCAGAGTCGGCGGTGATATCAAAGTCGGCTCCGACAAGCTCTCATGACAGTTCAGCGTCCCCTGGTCACTAGGTAACCAGGAGATGCTGAACTGTCATTACACACTGATAACCACGCGGAGCCGCCGTAATATCATGGCAGCACCGCTGGGTTCTCAGTGTTTAATGACAGTCCAAGCTGTCAGTAGCAAGTTGTCGGCCGGCCTCGGCTTTCACCTCGGCTCAGTCGAGCCGAAGCATATGCCTTCGGCTCGACTGAGCAGCTCGGCCAAATTCAGGAGCTGTACGGGCTAGTGAATAGCCCGTACAGCAGCCCTTCGGTTATACTGAACTGAAGGGGGCCCGGACCCAA